ACGATACCGATAGGTAAAAGATTGCGGAAAAAATTATTTTTGGTTAGACATTTTTACCAGCAACAGTGAGGATATGGTTTAATCTAAAACGAGGCCTGATAAGAAGATTTATTGATGATCAGTAGTACTCTCGCCTGCATTCGACAATAAAGATTATGTAACTGAGAATTATGTGACAAGAAACTTGCAAAACTTATAAACTTTTCTAAACAAACGCTAAGCTGTTGTGTGATGCTCTACGCAATTTTGAAAGAGAATGGATAGTTTGGTAAAAGCTTTCGTGCGAAGGTCTAATATCGACATTTATCAGACTTGCCTCTCACCGTGCTGCTGTGTTTACATACCGCTGTGAAGCCTGCGAGGACGAGATTAACTGCGGTGAACATATACGGAACACTTACGCAGATGACAGCAAGAACAATAAAGCAAAGGTATTTATTAAACCTGATCGATGTACGCTACAAAACCCTGTGGCTTCAAAAGCCTGAAACGTAAAAAACGTAAGAATAACGTTTTGCAAATAGTATGCATCAACAAAATGGCTTGGTCGTTTAAAGATTCCTTGACAAGCACCCTACAATATAATCATCCTTTAGCACCCTTTAGCTTTTTAGCCACCCCGCGTTTCAATTATTAAACTCCATATTAACTAAACGTACACTAGCCTTCGCTAAGTTCCAAACCCTATCCCTCATTTCTGTACTGAAAAATACCTTGGCTTAATTATAATTATAAGCGACAACAGAGGACACTAGCGAGGGGCTCGTGTGTTTAAACTTAATGGGGTCAGTTTCACTGTATAAAAAACTGAAAAGATAGAGACATCAGATAAGTAAGCGTACAAGGGTGTTCTTTTTGCAAGTATTATTTTCCTCAGGGTGCCCAGAATTATTTTCGTCTGAATGCGGAAAACACTCTTTTGTGCTAAAGGTAACTATACCAGCACGTGGTACAATGGACAAAGGAGCTTAGCCGGTGTAAATTTAAAGAAAGTGGTTTGTTTAAAACTCCCTGGGCTTAACATTATATATATGAAAGTAAAAAAGAAATCGACTGTGGTTGATCTTCGCAAATTAGACTATTAATTAACAGCAGGAACAAACTCTAGAACGATGTGCTTAGGACCTTGAAATAACACATATATTGATATGACGAATATGGCTTCAAAGATGCTAGGTTTATATAATAATCAGGAAAGCTAAATGAATTGAGAAGAAAGAGTTTAATT